TTCCCATGGCGCTGCTGAAACAAGCTTGATTGTGAGCAGCGGCTACTCTTACCTCTTGGGGGTCTGAACCCCCTACTTCGCCGTNGTGTACTTCACGCTTTGGTATCCCACGCTCGCACTACCGAAGACAGCAGCACCACTTCCCATGGCGCTGCTGAAACAAGCTTGATTGTGAGCAGCGGCTACTCTCACCTCTTGGGGGTCTGAACCCCCTACTTCGCCGCTGTGTCGTCCCGAAGGACCAGACTCTCTTCGCAGGTCCGCTGCCTGCGCGCTCCCGTCGTACTGCACGGTCCCAAAATGACCTGCAGTGCTTGTGGCGACGCTCTCCACGGCGCCGCCGCTTTCAGCGGCGCCCTCCGTGGTACCGCCGGACTTCTCCTCTATACGTGCAGCAAGTCCTCCGACCAGCAGCACCAGCTGGCCCATTTGCTGTGTCAGTGAACTGATCTCAGACCGCATGCTGTCGATCTGCTCGCTGCTATTTGTGTCTCCTGCCTGCGAGCCGTCCGGAGTGGTCCCTCCGGTTCTGCGGCCTGCCATCCCTAATGGACTCCCTCGAGGGAATAAACACTAGTGTGTTGGCATGTCCGTACTTGGGAGGAGGAGACACGCTTTAACTCTCTTTGATTAGGCACCCGCGGGAGCGAGGAAAGGAAGGGAAGAAGTGGCCCTCCCGAATTCGGGAAGGGGGCCCACACATAGTAGCCTTTTTCAGGCATACGCATGTTCCTGTCTACGTACCCCCCCGTGCTGCTAGCAGATCTACTATGCTCGTATCCAGACACACGAACACACGGCTGCTCAGAAGGAGGTCGAGGGGAAGCTGCTGCCCTACGTCGCTGATGAGAGCGACAGCTAGGAGAAGGTCTTGGAGGGCGACAGCGACGTGGAAGTCGTGAAGGGGCAGGGAGGCGGGGGCGCCGAAGGAGAAGTAGTCGAACTTTGAATCATAGTGTCGTGCAATAAGTCAACCCTAGTTTTGGTCAGTGTAAGAAGACTTGGGGTAGTTTAATCGCAGTATATATAATAAAGGCGTGATGGAAGGAAGGTCAAGAAAGAGTATGAGGTGGAGACTAGAATTGAGAAGGTGTTGGTTTATGGTTGGAATGATGAGCTTATGAGGGAATTGCAGTTAGTTGAGAGAGAGAGAGAGAGTTGGAGAGAAAGTGAAGCGGCGCAATTAGGTAGATACAGAGGAAGCGGCGCAATTAGCTCGTGTCAGCTGATGTCGCGTGCCCCCCCTGTTTCAGTGTTCAATTTCCCTGCTGTTCCCAGCCCACGAAGGCCTAAGAAACACACTTTGATCGCAAGCAACATCGAGACGCGCAAACCCACGACCCCAATGGCGCATCTACACATATATCTACGCGCGATTGGCCATCGCCGGCCGATTCCACGTCACTGGCACCGAAGGAGGGGCTACGCGGTGAGCGCACCGCTTGCGGTGTGTTCTTCCCATGGCACAGAGAGGTGAGGGGGGGGAAGTGAACAGCGATGAAGGGAGGGTTGGGCACTCGGACCACAGGGGTGGTGGTGGTTCTAAGGGCGGTGGGATGGATGAGTTGTCGACGGGAGGGGATGAGTCGGCAGCTCAAGCGATGTCAGGGAAGGGGGAAGTGCTGACAGAGAGACCTCGGGAGGAAGGGAAAAAGAGGTCGGGTGGAGACGTTGAAGTTGGAGACTCACGTCAGACAAGGGAAGTGCTATCTAAGAATGTACAGCAGACATCCGAGGATGCACAACGGACAGAGGCTGAGGTCTCTGGGGGAAAGTGTGGATGGCCTGAGGGCAAGAGGGGTTCTGAGGGTATTGCGCACGCTGGGGGGGGAAGTGTGTCGCAAAAAGGGGAAGTGCTGACAGAGAGACCTCGGGAGGAAGGGAAAAAGAGGTCGGGTGGAGACGTTGAAGTTGGAGACTCACGTCAGACAAGGGAAGTGCTATCTAAGAATGTACAGCAGACATCCGAGGATGCACAACGGACAGAGGCTGAGGTCTCTGGGGGAAAGTGTGGATGGCCTGAGGGCAAGAGGGGTTATGAGGGTATTGCGCACGCTGGGGGGGGAAGTGTGTCGCAAAAAGGGGAAGTGTTGACAGAGAGACCTTGGGAGGAAGGGAAAAAGAGGCCGGGTGGAAACGTTGAAGTTGGAGACTCGCGTCAGACAAGGGAAGTGCTATCTAAGAATGTACAGCAGACATCCGAGGATGCACAACGGACAGAGGCTGAGGTCTCTGGGGGAAAGGGTGGATGGCCTGAGGGCAAGAGGGGTCAGGAGGGTATTGCGCACGCGGGGGGGGAAAGTGTGTCGCGAAGGGGGGAAACGGCGGTGGGTGACTTGGAAAAAGGCGTGTCTTCAAGTCTAGCAAAAGGGCTGACGCACATCACGGGAGATCGGGGCAGAGAGATGTGGGAGAGTCATGTCCCTGCGAGTCGGGGAAGGAGTCTGACGAGAGGCTCGGGGGCAGGGGAAAGGCGCCTAAGCGCAGATCAGAGGATGGCAATGGAGGCAATGGCAATGCCAGGGTTTCACGCGTTAGCGCCGCGAAGTAAGAGGGGTGGGGAGGAGTGCTACTCACGGCGAACAAGTCAAATGCGCAGAAACAGAAGGTCACAGACACCTGACGCGGGTCATTTTTTTTCTCGTACGTCAGGTGATGGGGGAGGCAAAGTGCCCATGAAGGAGGAAGAAAAGCGCAAGAGGGGGGCTGGTGCCCAGGTGGAGGAAGATGGTAGAGGGAGCAGTGCCTCGGACGAGGGTGGTGGAGGGGATGGAGAGTCCCTTGGTGGGCAGCCACCGGGTGGGGGGAAGGTGAGAGACACATCAAGGGCGATCCTTGACTTGTTACAGTCGCACATTGGGGGTGATGTGGAGGCTCTCCAAAGTCTGGTGTCTACAATGGGGGGAGGTGGAAGAAAGGAACCAGCGAGATACAAGAGAAATCTCGACAGGTGGAGGTGAAGGGTGAAAGAGGTGCACAGTAGTATTGCGAGATTAAAAACAAATCTCGAGGGGTGAAGGTGAAGGGTGAAAGGGGTGAGAAGTACTGCGAGGTTAGAAACAAATCTCGAGGAGTGATGGTACAGGGTGAAAGGGATCGGAGATTAAAAACAAATCTCGAGAGGTGAAGGTGAAGGGAAAAAGGAGTGAACGGTATTGCGAAGTTGAAAACAATTCTCGCGGAGTGGAGGTGAAGAGTGGAGGGGGTGAACTATATCACGAGATTGAAACGAAATCTCGAGGGGTGACGGTGCAGGGTGAAAGAGGTCCCGGGTACAATTGTGATGAGGAAAAGAAATACCGCGGGCAGAAGGAAAGAAAGCAGAGCCAAATCCCGGGATCAAGGCAGACTCTCGGGGGGGCTGGGGGAAAGGGAAAACAATCATCACACGAGAACATCGAAGACGACTCGGAGGGTGGGATTGTAGAGGAGGAGGGGGGCCGATCGGTGGTGCACAACACCGAGGGTGATGGCCTCGCGACGGGGAGCGTCTCGTCCAACCACGGTAAGCGACGTTTTTCAGTATCTAAGGAGTATTCCAAGCAGGGTGGAAGTAATTATCCCAAACTGCAAGTGGTTTCGGGTGCTGACAAATTGAGCTGCACGGGTGTCGGCCGTGGGAGCAAGAATGTATTGAGGACTAGTACCCCGCAAGAAATTCTTGGTCGTAGTGTGTCGCAAGGTGCACGTGCACAGCTTCAGGAACCAATCACTAGTAAGACACACAGGGATTTTCCAGAAGTAGGGGTGCCGAACACGCCCCCTTCGTCCGGCCAGACGAAGTCTAGCATTGGCACAATGGGAAATGTTTATGACAATGCAAAACCAGTGGAGAATGCGTCAAACACTCAAAGGAAGGAANGTCATAGTGTGTCGCAAGATGCACGTGCACAGCTTCAGGAACCAATCACTAGTAAGACACACAGGGATTTTCCAGAAGTAGGGGTGCCGAACACGCCCCCTTCGTCAGATCAAACGAAGTCTAGCATTGGCAGAATGGGAAATGTTTATGACAATGAAAAACCAGTGGAGAATGCGTCAAACACTCAAAGGAAGGAAATACGCAAGGCAAATTCTCCGAGGGCAGTGAGGTGTCCGCTGGATCCTCAAGCGGAGCACACGGCTGGTAGCAATGGTGCCAAAAAGGGGTCGATTAATAGGGACACTAGAAAGGGAAAAAGTGTCACCGTTGATCGTGCTGGCAGCAAGCAGAACCATGAAACTGTTGCTTTACCAGTGATAG